TTTTTTTTTTTTTTTTTTGTGTATTTAAAGGTTGTAAGTATGAATAAAAATACATGAGTTTCAGCCTTTTAATTTTTTGAGTTCCTACAAAAAGCATAGATTTAAAGTTTTCAAATCAAATAAAGAAAAAGTGTCCTTATAGCATAGGTCTAGCTGTATAACAATTATGACTGTAATATCTATATCATAAATTATTGCCAAAAAAAAATCTTTAATCATGTGAATTTTGTCCAAATTCTGTCCACCTAAATTTGCAATTTCTTTTTATATAGCACTTGTGAATTTTGGGGCAATACCATATTAGTAAAAAAACCATGCCTTTCTGCCCAATAAATAATTAATAATTCATGTGATGGTGCTACTCTCTAGGAAATGAAGGAATCCATGACCCTTGGAAAGTGACAATGATTTTGCAGCAAAGATAGAACAGGAGGGAGTACTAAATTACCTGAAGATATATAATTACTATTAAAGAAACTGAACGAGTTACATATTACAGAAAAATCTAGCAACAAGTGGCTCAAACTATATTAGGAAAATGCATTGTGGGTTCCATGTTTGGATCAGGGACGTCTATTGAAGTACAATAGCACAGCACTAACAAAACCCTTATCAATTTTGGTCAATATGTTAACAGAATTACTCCACTTAATACCTAATATAAGCTGAAAGCCTGATGCTGATACATATAACTCAAATTTGATAATGATACTATTGTATATACTAAAACATATTGAGATTTGGCAAAAGCAAAAGTGCTTAAAAATGTGTAGTGTTGAATTCTCATCAAAAAAATAAAAAATAAAAAGAGATGCCTTCTATACAATTTTGCTCATCTAAAAACCACTCTCCATTATCATGATTTACAGCTCATTCAAATGAGAGGTGACATTTAGGAACTCTTCCTCCTTGCATGGTATTGTGAGACCACTTGTTTGATGATCATATCCAAATTCTTCTTCTGCTTGACTTAGCAATTCTTGAAATGAAGGTTGATTCAAGTATGATACTGGAATCATGAATCGCCTCATCTTATCTCCAACATATACTGCAAGATATCCTTTTGGTCCTTCAACCTCTTAGAGGCTGCATAGGTTGTAGAAATCGATGTTCGACTAATAATAGCTGGCATGCGGAAGCCCATTTTTCTTTGTTACTCCACATAATAAATAATATACTGATCAGGAGACTTGTATAAGAAAGAAATATTTGAATTCTGATGCTTGAGGAATGGAATGACTTGTGTTGCTTGAGAACCGAAGAAATTGTGTTTATATAGTTGCCAGGGTCCTCTGATATCCAATTTCACAATGAGCCATGATGGGGTCTATTGAGGGACAAAGGATCACATGGTATTGTCTCAGATGTCATTGTCAAGGATTAGGAAGTTCAATCTGGGTGCACACTAATGAACTACTGTTTATTTATACACACCACACCTTCTGAGAACCACCTGAAAACCTCATGTTTGTTCACGCCTAGTGATACAGCTAATCAAATGGTGGATATGCTTTAGAAATAATATTATTGTATATAGCTACCATGTACCATATTATATATATATGAGATATATAATTCCTTTCAAGTGGGGAAAACTGTTAACCTTCACATATGCCCTTGTCTCTTAGTTTGTCCCATTACTCATACTTCATGGCTCTCCTTCTTATATATGCATGATTACAACAATTTAGGGCCCACAGAAATCATTCACATCCTAAAGCATTTGAAAGGGCCATCTTGCAGTCTTTGTCGGGGAGAAAATGAAGCGGTTAGTAATTCCCATATCATACTTGAACCTACCTTTTAACCAAAATTTGTTGAGTCAAGCTAGGGGTTTGGATTTGATCATCCCTTGGGTAGTCTTATCATTCCTTGCAGTGATGATGTCTTCCATGATATAATCTATAATTGAGCGGGCTATAAATCTTAAACAGTAGGAGACCAACATAGATTAGTATAGCCAATTTGTACCATAGGCATATTCTCAATGTGTAAAAGTCTCCCTTAATCCAAAAATAGGGGGAAAACGTTTATAATGACAAATTTGTAGAGCAT